TGGGGCCCAGTGGCCATACTCTCTCAATATAGGTACTCTAATAAAAACCATCAAGTGAACGTGCCGGAGGGGGAGGTTTACTCGTGTTGGACACATTTTTTGCGAGAGCCCTGTCAACACTATACTATCAAAAGTTCACAGAACTTGGCGCGATAGTTAAGTTCCGTAAACTTATCTCTGTATAGACAATGCCTTCCATTTACATAAATGAACGAAAAAATAATGACAGAACAAACATAAATGTGGTTTAATAATTTTAACTTGCGCCGCCGCGCCGCGCTGACCGCTCTGTGTTTGGCGCAATGCGTGAAGTAATAATCCTACAGTTTTGTATGCGCTATGCGTTTCACGCCGATCGCTGCTGCACGCACTGTGTTTGACGCAATGCATGAAGTATTCATGCAGTCTTGCAGGCGCTATGCGTTTCACGCCGTCCGCTGCTGACCACAGCGACCTCACTGTCTTTGACGCAATGCGTGAAGTATTCATGCAGTCTCGTAGGCGCTAATATATGTATGTGTTACATGGCGACCGCCGCGTCGCGGGGTTTCTCAGTTGCATCTCAAGTTCTCGTCATCATTGCTCTCTGCGCCGCGCCGTTCCAGACCAAATTCCGTGTTCGGTTTCTCTCTTAGTCTTAGCTCGACTAATTAAAGGTGCTGTCTATTGTATCGCAGAAAGACGAACAAATCAGAAATACACTCTCACAAAATGAGAGATTTTGTCACCTTTTCTCGTTTGTAATTTTTTTCTCTGATTCCGAATTTTCTTTATAGCTACATTTAAAAAAATTGTAAAATTTGCCGTCCCCTAAATTTGCCGCCATGGGCCGCGGCCCATTGGTTTCCTCGTGAAGTTTTCTTCTTGAAGCACCCCTTAAAATTCAAAATGTGACGAAATAAACATCAAAATTAGCAGTTTTAGTAAAAAATTTCATGTCCGACCTCTTTAATTAACTCGATCCACTGTGCAGCTCGGCAATGCATCCACCTTCACAAAATGCGACTTCCTACCCGTCAATGACGAGGCAATCGTTGTTTCAAGTGACGTATCGAAAGCTATCTCCGGTTTTAGATCGAGTTTTATTTTTATATTTTACGCGGACTGTTTACAGTGGTAAAACGATCACGTAAAAGATTGACGCGTTGATTATCAGAACTGGGAAGACGGTNGGGGGGGGGGGGGGGGGGGGGGGGGCTGGTATTTTAGGACGTTCGTCCTCCGTCGCACAATGGATCGAGTCAATTGGAGAGGTCGGACATGAAATATTTGACTTAAACTGCAAATTTTGATTTTTATATCGTCACATTTTGAACATTGAGGGGTGCTTTTGGAAGAAAATTTGACGAGGATACCAATAAAACGACTTTGAGAACCTCATAATCGTGTATAAGCGGAGTTATAGGCGTTTAAAGTTTCTAAATTTTGTCCGACCTCTCCTATTGACTCCATCCACAGTGCGTCGGAGCGTCAGCCCGATCGTCCGCTAATGACGCCGCGTTACCGTGCAGGGTGAAAATCGAGGAAAATCAGTGCATTTCAGGATGCCTCGCGCTTGAATGGACCACTGCAGGTCAACTATCGAAATCTGTGGACAAAGCTATAGACAAAGCGATAGACAAAGGGAAATGGCGCAATCCTATTGGTGGGAGCGGACGGTTTTTATTGACAAATGTTTTTAGTTTTGCACACTGAAAAAAAATTCTCGGCGTTTTTACCACGGTCCGTTGGAACCTTCACCATCTCACTTTCTTTACCAATTATTGGTAATTTTACCAAGACAGACTGGTAAGCCAACCTAAAAACCGGTATTTTTACTGTTTTTTTTTCAGGTAAGAATACCACTTTTATTGGTAATCAATTCCCGGTAACTTTGCCATTTTATCTCGGTAATTCTACCACAGTCGATAAAAAATATATTGGCATTTTTACCAAGGTCCAGTAAAATTAACGAGAAAGTTCAATTATGTTACCGCGATTTTTCGGTAAAATTACCAATTCCATAAATGGCAATTTTACCAAGAAAAAACTGGGATCAAATAGAACCCTGAATTCTTGGTAATTTTACCCTTTTCTTAGTAAATACACCGAGATTTTGTTTTTCAGTGCATACTTGCATAAATGCATACCCGCACAGTTTCACCATAAAGTGCCTTGTCTAGTAGTCCATATCACTCCTTTATAAAGGCCTGGATACGCGCTCAAATTTCCGTCAATTTCCGATCAAAATTATGACGAAAATGGCGGTCGAGAGTTATCAAAATTGTTATCTAAAATTAATTAAAACAGCGTGTTGATGGAAATAAGCACGGTTGTGTGGAAATCAGGTGACGGATGAGACCCACAGCACCATCATCTACCATCAAATTTTGGCAGGCCACAAAAAATTGATGGTAGACGGTGCGCACCAGTCACCATTTGATCGGAAATTGATGGAAATTTGAGCGTGTATCCAGGCTTTGAAGAATCACATCTAGTATCCAGAGAAGTTCGTGTAATGTTGACGATATTAATTTGGATTAAGTGAGGGGCTTGGAGGACAAGGGGTATAAGTGCTGTTTTCGAAAAAAAAGTGACGTAATGATGATTTCAAGTAAAACTAGTCTGGCTGCATATCTTGTGAAAAATTCGCTCTCAAATTCCAATTGTTAAGCATCAAAAAGCCACTTTGAAATTTCTTTCCACCATAGGGATCCAAATAATTTCGAAACTTCAAACACGTATTTCTCGATATAGCAAAAACTGCACTTATGCGCCTCGTCCTCCAAGCCTCTCAATAATTGTTAATTTGTAATTTTTTTAATCTGTTGGCTACACTTTTGAACTTTGAGATGCAGAATCTGTGCTATGGATTGCATTTTGCAAATTTTCCCTGATAAAACATGTATTCATGACGACATTCTTGGATATTTTTCCTTGAAATTTTCAGATATTTAAGATTAAATTGGGTACAAAGTTGTCTAAAATTTTTGGAAAATAATTTTTACAATTTTCCCAGTAAAGTCGGTTTTTATCGAAGGAAACTTGGCAACATCTGAAGAATCATACGGCGTTTTTCCTTAACACGATAGTATGAATTCAAGACGAAAATTATTTTTGTAACGTTAATTTTTTGCTTGATTTCAGTAATTTTTTGCAAAGAATGTAAAGTTGCACAATCCTAGCAACATTGGGATACTCTTGGTTCCTTTTCGCTAAAAGCAATTCATCTCTAAGTTTCGTTCGCACATTTCGACAAACAAACGAATCGTAAACTTCCTTCCTTTTCGCGGCGATTTGGCCTGCCACTCGTCGCTTAGTCGCGGTGTCGCTTGCCGTTGGCAAAAATAGAAAATAAATATAGACGAAAAAATCAAACAGGAGAAATGAGGCGTGCGACGGAGAAAATTACGCACGCTCAATCCGTTTCCATTCCATTTTCCAGTTTTCCCGGGTTGCCGAGCTTCGCGGGGTCTTACATCTCCGTCAGCCTGAAATTTACAATATTTCGCACTGAAAAAAAAAATGTATTACTAAAAAAAGGGGGGGGGTAAAAGGTGTGTATTTACTAAAAAAAGGGTAAAATCACCAAAAATTCAGGGTTCTATTTGATCCCAGTTTTTTCTTGGTAAAATTACCATTTATGGAATTGGTAATTTTACCGAGAAATCTCGGTAAAATCTCGAGTTAGGTTAAGTTAGGTCACCGAGAAATCTCGGTAAAATCATTGAAATTTCTATTTTCCTGAACCTTGGTAAAAACGCCAATATTTTTTATCGACTGTGATAGAATTACCGAATTACCGGGAATTTATTACCAATAAAAGTGGTATTCTTACCTGAAAAAAACAGTAAAAATACCGGTTTTTAGGTAAGCTTACCATTCTGTCTTGGTAAAATTACCAATAATTGGTAGAAAAAATGAGATGGTAAAGGTGCGAACGGACCTTGGTAAAAACGCCGAGAATTTTTTTTCAGTGCGGGCCGATCTGGCAGCCAGGCAGACGTTTTCAGTTTTGCTCCCGAGCGGGGAGCTAGGGCCCCGATCAGGTTTGCGGGAATTCGACGCGATATATAAAGGAAAATCGCCGTATAAGCATTCGAGAGTTGCCAAATTTACTCCAATGCAATGTTTATTTTTGAGGAGAGTCGTGAATATGTTATCTTAAAAATTTCAGATATTTTAGATCTAATTACGATGAAAATGTTCTGAAAAATTTAACGGAAAATATTCATGAATTTTCCTGAAAATTCGTATTTAATCTGGGGAAATTTGGCAACTGCCGAAGGTTCTTACGGCGTTTTTTCTTAGCACGGCAGTTCTGGACGATCGAATCATTCGCGTCACTTCGCAAATATCGAATATCGCACCACCACAGAAATGAAGTTAATATGGAGCCCATGAACTTATTGCATGAAGCCAGCCAGCTGCACTTATGGTGGCTGATTCTGACGTAAGAGCGACCGAGTGACCTTAAATAGAAACTGTCCCGATCCGTCTCTAATGGGTCACTTAACCTTTCGTTTTTCATTTCATACATCGTCATCTTCCGGCCAAAGTATCACAAGCGCCATGCGACGTTTCAAAATTTCCGCCGCCATTTTATTTTTTTAGAGCGAAATCGTACAACGAAGCTGTCCGAAAATTTCACTGAATTTTCTTTGTTTTTCCGATATAATTTAGTGAAATTTTCAAACAGATTCAACCAACAATTTATAGGTAAAAAAATAAAATGACGGCAGTAATTTTTGAACCGTATGGGGGACTGTAGTTACAGGTTTAGCAATCCTGCGGACCCCATGGTAACCCCTGCCTTAAGGGGTAGTAGAGATGGTCAGTGGCTTCAAGGTGTATGAACCACCCATTGGAAGGGCAGATAGAGCTCTCAGCTATAGTGGAAGCAACTTGTCTAGGAGAGGAAACTCCAAAATCAAACCTCGGTCCTCCAGGTTGGGAGTTGAGTCATCGGGCTAACTCCCCGATACTCGTGAAAAGAAAGGACCCAATAATAATTGCCTCGGTAACGGAAATAAACGGATTTATTGGAGCAAATTACGTAAACGGATGATGGTTCGACACACTTATTATAAATTTACAAAAATTCAGGTTTTTTACGAAATTGTACAAGAACTACAAAATGTTTTCTTTACAAAAACTATGATTGCTTGTAGGCCTCCATCAATTGTTTAATTAGCTCCTTCTTCTCGACTTCCGGTAAGAATGCTGCTTTGGCCGCGTTAAGATTCTGTAAAAATAATGATCATGATTTAGCATGTATGAAAATGTTCGTAGACGGATAAGCAACCATTAATGCCGGCAAAATTCAGTATATTTGTTATGCATACAATTTATTTTTATAAATTTTCTTAAACCCATGGTAGAGTGATTCTTATGTGTTTTAAGCTGCAGAATCTTAATATGACCTCGATTTATTTTTAACCCTTCAGCAGGCCGATTATTGACATTGATAGACAAAGCTATGGAAAAAGAAGACAAAAGGGACATGAAGGGATCCTATTGGTGGAAGCGGGTAGTTGCAATAGACGAAGGAGGTAGTCAATAGACTACCTAACGGCAACCCACGAATAACGACCCTGTATTTAGTCCATCATTTCATACTTTAGTCTGTAGGAATCACCCATTTCAACCAATAGGGTCGCTCCATGCTCCGTATGTCTTGTTTGTCTATGGCTTTGTCTATCAATTTCAATAATCGGCCCGCATGCCGTGCTAAGGAAGGACGTCGCACGTATGAACCCTCGTGCGATGCCAAATTTCTTTTGGTAAAAAAACGAATTTTCAGGAAAAATTGTGAAAATTTTCCTCCCAATTTTTCAGAAAATTTCCTTCGCGATGTGATCTAAATTATCAGAAAATTTGGGATAGAAATATTCGTGATTTGTCTCAAAAATTAGCATTTGAAGAGGAAAAATTTGGCATCTCCCGGATGTTCATACTGCGTTTCTCCTTAACACGGCAGGAAGCTGCGATTAGACCAATCTAGAAGTTGAGCCTCATTTCCGTTTAGCCTTTTTTCCCGGGCTTTCGGGGGCTCATGGTCAAGAGACACACACGTGGCTTTGCAGCGAGGGAATTCGCACCACTACCGCGGCTGAAATACGAGCCAAAACAAGTACTTTTGTGTTTGCGAGCGCCAGCGGGTCGATTATTGACATTTATAGACAAAGCGATAGACAAAGAATCTGAGGACAAGGAACATTTTTTTTTAAAAAAAAAAAAAACCTACGGTTTGCTTCATTTGTTCTTGCGTCAAGCCCCATGAATGTGCAAGGGAATAATCTCCATCTAGGGTGTATCCTGTTATCGTAGTGTCATCAGAATTTATTGAAAAGTTAGCTCCGTCCATGGCAAATCTGGAAGTTACAAGTAACATATTAGATGTGTCCATTGCTGGGAGGATACAACGGATTAAGTCATCTTTTCAAACGGTAAAATCGCTAGAAAATTACATTGAACAGATGAACGAATTGTATAGTGGGAAAAAATCCTTAAAAGTTTGGCTATGTAATGGAGAATGGAACACAAAGTGAATCTAGTCTTGGGTTAATTCTAGGGTTTTCCTGGTTTGTCATGGGTTTTCTTTGCAAAATTCAATGCAAACCGTACCGAAATCAACACAAAAAGTATGACTTATGTTTTACTACCTTCATTGAATGAAATAAAGAATTTGCAGGTGTCTTAAATTTTGTGAATTTCATCTTTAAAATGATACTGCCAGGAAAACTGAATGCGAGGAGATCCTTGCTCTCTGAATTGAACAATGTATTGGAGGAAATATGACAAAATAACCGAAACTGTTATAATGCATGTGTTTAAATGTAAAATGCCGCCAGCTGACGTCACACGGCGGCGCATTTTCTCACTTTAAAATATATTTTTCTCCAATTTCCCATGTTAGAAAAAAATTATGAAAAATACTGCGAACTCAGCTCATTAGGCACTCTCAGATGAAGCAATAACATTTGTTTGTGCAAATTCTCCATTAGAGGACACAAAAATATTTTTCTAATTTTAGCTGCGTGCTAACTGCTTATATTTTCTTTGTTTTGAGAAAATAATTGATTCAATAAATAATTAAAAACATCTTTCTTTCCATACTCACTGTTTAATTGGGTGAGTGTCGATATCAAACGGAACGGCGCCGGTGAGAAAGCTGGACCAGGGACAGCACTCGAAATGGACTTGATCCCGAAGGCATTTTCCGTAAATAGTTTTATCTTTAACCACGTGATAACCGTGCCCGACCCTTTGAGTCCCGTAAATCTCCACAGCCTATGGAACAAACATCTAATTGATGCCTCATTGATGTTAAGTAGAAAAGAGCTCTCTCTGTTTGAAACAGTTCTCTCATTCCATGTCCGTCAAAAGTTCCAGAACTTTTCAGAACTTTCAGAACTTTTTTGTTCAAATTCCCACTCCATGACCGTCAAAACTTCTGGGATTCCTCAAAGATTTTTTCAAAAGTTCCGAGAAAGTTCTGGAACATGCAAAACATCCGGAACGTTTCGGGAATTTCAAAAGTTCCGGGAAAAATTCAGGAAAATCTCAGAAGTCCCGGAATTCAGAACTAGTTCCGAGAAATGGGAGCACTGTGTGTCAGAAAAGTCAAAAGCGCCTTCAATTTTTTTCTCATGCAACACGGACAACCTAGAAGCGCGAATAGTTGCTTCCAGGTTTTTCAATAAACATTGTGCTGCACGGAGCACAGTGGATTGAGTCAATGGGAGAGGTCGGATATTATTTAAAAACTTTAGAAGCAAATATATTCTTTACTATGAAATTTTGATGTTTTAAAAGTCAATTTATTGGTTTCCTCGTAAAATTTTCTTTGAAAAAACACCCCTTTAAATTGAAATTAAGACGAGATAAACGGAAATTTGTACGCTTTTTGTCAAATGTTTCATGTCCGACTTCTCCCAAAGACTTGCACCACTGTGCGGAGGGACAAAAATTAAACACCAAAGCTCTCGGATTGTTTTGAATTCTTTCTGACTGGTGAGTTTTTAAATTTTATTTTAACCTTTGACCTATAGTCTGGTACTTTTAAAATATTTGATCACAATTATTTAAGTCATTTGATATTTACACCCGCTTGCTAAGTCCGCCATTTTTGAGTATTACGAGCTCTATGAAGCGCAAGATTGAGGAACCAATCAAAAGCAGCCCCCTGATACATGGCGATTGACCAATTGAGCTATTGTAAAAAGTAAAATAATTTTATTTATCATTTCACTTTTTTCGATTTTTGAGTAAAGTTCCCGGTACAATGTGCGAATGAAACTACATTTTCAATTGTTCGATATTTATTTACACCCGCTTGCCCAGTCCGCCATTTTCTAGTTTTCCGCGCTCTATGAAGCGCAAGATTGGGAAGCTACTCAAAAGCAGCTCCCTAATACATTAACCAATACACCGAGTCGAAATAATTCATTTGAGTTAAACGTGCAAATTAAACTACATTTTAAATCATTTGATTTTTACACCCGCTTGCTAAGTCCGCCATTTTTAAGTTTTCCGAGTTCGATGAAGCTCAAGATTGAGAAGCCAGTCAAAAGCAAACCCCTAATACATGGCGATTGACCAATGAACCGAGTCGAAATAATTAATTTGAGTTAAGTTCCAGGTGCGATGTGCAAATAAAATAGAACCACATTTTATTTAAGTCAGTTGGATCACATTTTACAATTAGGAACTATAACTTCTGACTAATCTGTAAAAACACTTATGCGCATAGGAAAACTAATGGTCCATACGTTGTTTCTCAACCGAGCCAGAAACCATAGTTCCAAATTGCAAAATGTAGTCCATTTTTTGTTTACATGCGCTTGCTAGGTCCGCCATTTTTGAGCTTGCCGAGCTCAAGATTGAAGAGCCAATCAAAAGCAGCCCCCTGAATCCCCTGATACATGGCGATCGACCAACAGCGATTGTGAAAAGTAGAATACTTTCATTTGTCATTTTAATTTTTCATGCACCCATTAATTAATTCCTTGTGTTTTTTCCGAAGACATTGATTTTCCCTCTCTATGGAGCTCCACGATTAATGGTGGTGTTGGCGATGCCGATAGGTTCTGTGGAAGCGGGGAAACTCCACATTCATTTCGCTATTCGTGACGCGAGTATTAGGGGAACAGAGATGAGTAGCAGGTAGACCAATTCGCTGATTGGACGTCGCAGACCCGCCCAATATCTCGAGCTGCGCTGGACGCCGATTGTGATCAACTTGTGTCGATGTGAGCCAGTGAATTCACCGTCTCGATGTATATATCGTCAAATCGGATCCGGATACTGTTGAGCATCAGCACGTCGCGTCGCGTCGGCCAGTTCCCAAGTAACAGTGATCGATCGCGATAAATAGCGATTTTTATCGGTTGATTATCGCGATTATATAGGTGGCAATGTATCGCAAAACTATCGAATAAAAAATTGCGATTTATGGCGATTAAATTGCTATGCAGTATGCATCCCAATTTTTTGTTCAATAAAATTGCGATCAATTTTCGTCGAAAAAATCGAGACTAAACCGCCATAAATCGCGATTTTTGTTTTTATAATATCGCGATGAATTGCCGGGCAATAAAATCGCGATTATATTGCAACAAGATCAAGGATAATCGCTCAGATGTTGATGATCCTAGCGATTTTATCGCGATTTTTCCGTTGAAAAATGCTACCTGGGAAGTGAAGCATTTCTCAACAGAAAAATCGCTATTTATTGCGATTCTATCGGCGATAAAATCGCCAGGATAATAAACATCTCAGCGATTATCCTCGATTTTATCGCGATAAAATCGCGCTTTCATTGCCCGACAATTTATCGCGATATTTTCGAAATAGAAATCGCGATAAATGGCGATTTATCTCGATTGTATCGACGAAAATTGATCACGATTTTATCGAACAAAAAATTGCGATTTGTTGCGATTTAATCGCCATACATCGCGATTTTTAATGCGATAATATCTCGATATATTGCCAGCGACATAATCGCGATAACCAACCGAAACAATCGCTATTTATCGCGATCACTGCTAGCGGCTCAACCGTTCTGCCGTGATATCGAAGAGAGCAGTAAGTGCAAAAATGAAGTTTTGAGAAAACGGCTAAGAAGTATCTGACCGGAAAATTTTGCTGAGAGAAGCCTCTGTTCTTTCTCAAATTAGCACCAATCGTCCGAAAGACTTCCTGGAAATCATACGGATGATTAAAAATCGACCAATTTCATTTCACGTACATAAAAAGGGTATTTTTCATTTTTATGCTAGGTAATAGTTAAGCAAGACAGACGTAAGTGCTATCTACTCCATGCTTTCGTGATTGAGTTTTTGATACCCAAGAACACACACTTTCAGGTTAGAAATGAGCAGAAGAGAGAGCAGGCCCGCCACATCCTATCTCGGGCCCCGGTACCAGTTTTAAGACCCGGGCCCCCAGCACAGAGGGGATCCGGGGGCCTCCCCCGGGAAATTTTTAAAATTTTAAATCTACTTGGACGCATTTTGAAGCTCTCATGAAGGAGATTTTCCATCAGTTTCTGCAGAATAATCACGCCTTTTTTTTACTTTTAGTACAAAATACTTTCGGATTGTTGCATTCAAAACACCTGGAAATTTTTTTCGGGAGGGGGGAGGCAGATGATACTATTTTCAATTCTAGGGGGGTCCAAGCCTCCCTGAACCCCCCTTTCGTACGTCTATGGCAAGGAAATTGAGCCATTGAAGTCGCGGATGCCTAGACTGGAGACTCTTAGCATCCGACGACGGAAGGAAATGAAACGCAGTTACTAAAAATATCAATCTATACTAAAAAATCATGAAATCAGATAGAAATCCTCAAAGAAGTAAGGCAAATTCTACAGTGTCCCAGCATGTTTTTGAACATTTATTCACCTTTTGCGAAATTTTTAGGGTAAATTTTTCACTTTTCCTTCCGAGATAAGAGTTCCGGCACGGGCCCCTCAAAGGCCCGGGCCCCGGAACCAGGGACCCAGTATCCCCCCCCCCTTGTGGCGGGCCTGAGAGAGAGGCACTTCACTTGAAAGCACTGTTTCCATTGGCTCTCTGCAGGAATATTGTCACATACTGCTGTCTTGCCTGAAACTACGTCATTTTTTGCGCACTTACGGCTTTCTCATGTGTCTCGTTTTCATGAAAATAAGATGAATTTTGCCGTTTTAGCTCTTTCAGTGATTTCATCTATAAGAGACTAGACGAAATTTGAAGGAAACTCGATTTCGAAAATTTGACCCTTACTGCTCCCTTTGCTGTCATCCACAACACTTAATGCAGTTGACAAAATTTTACCATGTCTTCCAAAGATAGTACCATTTGCTCTACTGGATAGCTTGCCAAACATCCCGCTTAAGTCAAATTGGGCACTAAACTAATTTTAGTTGGTGAGAAACTATCTTAGTAGACGTTACCCTCTGTATAGCAGTGGGTCCACTCGCCTCGCCAGCGTGAATTGTGGTGCCAAATCCTAGTCTTTTGGCCTCGCCGTAGAGTGAAACCAACAGTGGCACGGCTGGTGCCTCCGCTAAAAGAAGAAAAATAAAAAAGAAGAAATAAAGGAAAAAGTTATAGAACAGAACATTTATCAATCACACAATTTGCAAAAAAAAAAAAATGTGAGGAGATGCAGAGACGACGCACTGTCGTTGACTCGCGAATTGATGATAATTGGGCAGCGTCTTGGAAAAGAGAAGTGAAAGATGTACACCCAGCTATCGCCGAATTTCATCGGAAAATTGTTTTATTCCACTGGAGAACGGATGATCGGTTTCTCTGAAAGATTTCGGGGGCTATGTTTCATGATTAATGAATAAAAATTGCTCAAATTTACAAAATAATCTTCACTTCTGGTTTCCCATGAAACATAAACTCGCTTTTAAAAAGATAGGAGCTCGTAAAGGCCGGGCTCCATTCGGCCTCAAAATAAATTGGTCCAAAATTAAGAGCAACATATCAAACGGTTTTCTGCGTAGCAAACATGCACATGTATTTTGGCTGTTCGATTTTGATGTTCCACCACATAATACGGGTAGTAATCGGGTTTCCAAGTTGAGCTTCCTTATTTTTGCCGAAAATTAACTGAAAATGGCTGACGCATCGATGTATTTATTGCAATTTCCTTATGAAATGCTTTTGAAATGTGAAATAAGGTACTCTGACGTATATTGCCGTGCTAAGGAAGAACGCCCTATGAACATTCGAGAGGTGCCAAATTTCCTGCGATGAAACGTTTATTCATGAGGAACGTTATGACGATTTTGCCTTAAAACTTTCAGGAACTTTAGGTGAGATTAGGAACAAAATCATCTGAAAAATTAAAGGGAAAATATTCATAAGTTTACCAGGAAATTCGCGTTTTATCAGAAGAAATTTGGCAACGCCTGAAGGCTCAAACTGCGTTCTTCCTTAGTACGGCAATATAGCTGAGTTACCTTTCACCATCAAGATGCTGAGCAGGTAATTTTTACACTTACCACTATACTCCTGCGAGACCAAATCGATACCAACAATGTCATCACGGAAGTTCTGGCAGACTTTGATTAGGTCAGAGAGCAACTCGGGTAACCAACTGTGGCCACTCAGGATGGATTTACATCTGACCCCAAAATCTCTCTCTCCCCGCTTTAAGCCTTTTATCACTTGTGAAGTCACGTCCAGGAGACCTGAGACAATGACACAAATTCTGGAATAAGCTTTTAAAGACCATCGGTGGATATAGCAAATTGGCAACACTGTTTCTCTCCATTTAAACCTATGGAAATGTATCGATTCTTGGAGGGGCCAGGTGCTCCGACAAGAATCGATTATTTAACACAGGTTTATATGGAGGCAGTCCGGTGTTGCTGAATTGCTTGATCCGCTTCTGTTTAAGACAAATGCGTGCCTCAATTGCAACATTTTAAAATGTCCAATTATAAATTTACTACCATAAGAAGAAATAAATCAAAATACTCTCGTGAAGTTTTCTTAGAATATTTTTAAATTAGTGAAGAAAAATCACTGATGGTTCCAAGACAAACTATCTGTTAGTTTTTTTAAAAAAAAAATAATAAAATAAAACGTATATTTGCAACGCCGCACTCAAAGATGCACGTTTCCGACCTCAGCCATCAGTACGTTAATTTTGAAATGCGAATTGCATATAGATGGCCATAAGGCGGAACCACATATCTCCATCGCGATGTTTCAAAATTTTCCCTCCTTTTTTATTTTTCGAAGAGACACAAGCCTACTGTAGCTTATAGCTTGGAATTCATGTAGAATATTCTCCTACATACTGGAAAATAAGTAACTTGGATCTAGATTCCAAACTTTTAAAAACGTTGACAAGAAAAAATACTCTTGATTCAATCGGAGTTTTGCTTGAATCAAAAGGAAATTCAGTTACGACTTGACTCTTCGATTCAAGGAAAAATCCGATTGAATCAAGATTATTTTTTCTTGTCAATATTATTAAGAGTCTGGACTCTAGATCCAAGCGACTTTTTTTCCAGTGTATAGCAGAGGAGAAGAATAATTTAAACAGTTTTCAAGAAATTACGATATAAAACTAAAATTTTCAAAATAAAAACTGAAGTATGACGGGAAGTTTGCATCGCAGCAAGCGGAGATAGGTGGTTTTTCACTTTGATCATCGATATATAATCCCATGTACATATAGAAATATTCATTTTCTTCCTTAACACAGAATCAAACTATTTTTTTTCCTTCTCTTATATCTTTATTATCTACTCACCCTGGAGATCATATTTTTCTCGAAAACCAACGCCAACCAGTCTGTGCGGACTATACCGTACCTCAGAATAAATCACGTTGGAGCACTTTGAATCTTCGCAAAATTCGTAAGCCAGTCTTTCAATCGCCTCAAGATCGCCTCTGCAAGCAAAAGTTTTCATCAAGAGATATCAATTTAAATTTGGTTAATTTTTTCCGATATGAATTCATCTGTTCAAACAAGTTCATACTTCCCGATGACCCAAGATAACACAAATAGGTGGGAATATTCCTGGGAACCGATGGACGTGTTCGAGAGCAGGAAATCCATAGCGAAGTGCCTTCAACTATTGAAGTATGCAACGCGGTCAACAGTTGAGCAGGAATAGTTGCATCTAGACGCTGGTAGGCGCCCCGATGGGATTTTATTCCACTTGGGACTTGGGTTCTGGTTCTTTGTTAAACACGATCTACTGAATCCAAAAGCTCGTAACGAAACTTCAAACACATATTTCTCGAAATAGCAACAACTGCACTTCTGCGCCCTGCCCTCCAAGCCCCTCAATGGGTCAGTTGCGCAAATTCGTGTTTTGGTGCTTTATACCGGCAGATCAAATAAAAATAATAAGATATGTCCAAACAGCAACTTCCTACGTTTAATATTGACCTAGATATCGCGCCTTAAAAAACTCGATTTATGACGTCATCAACCGCGGTAATAGATACCATGTTATGCACTGCCGCGGTGGATGACGTCTAGAACCCGACTTTTCAGAGGACGATACCTCGGTTAGCATTCAACGTTATAGATAGTTGCTGTTTGGACAGATCCTCTTATTTTTACCTAATCTACAAGAATCAAGCATTAAACCACGATTCACCAGCGCAACTGGCCCATTTACTGTATCTCCTTTATTTTAAATCTGTTGACTACACTTTTGACTTTTGAGATGCACAGCCCGTGCTACAACTGTAAGTTTTATTCGCATGCACATTTTAACTTTCTCTCCTCAATCCGAAGAGGATCATATTACTTAAGATTTAAAGCACAGAAATAAAAATACCGAGTGATATTGGAAATCAAATTAATACTCACGCGAAATAATGGTAACCCAACTCATAAGCGTCCAAAAAGTGGGACAAGTTTTTAGGTTCCTGGACGATGCACCTCATTTTCAAATCAGCCAGCGTAGCGCAACCAGATATTGGACGGTTTTTCTTTCTAAAGAGAAAAAAAAAGTAATTTTAGAACAAACGTATTTTCTCAGATGCTATTTTTTGCTATGGGCCCGTTTTCCGGAAAGCTCCTCAATTTCTTTATCGATATTGTAGCAAAATACTCTTTAAATATTTGTACGAGAGGGTTTTTTTTTCTTACATTCGCTGAAAACGAGGAGGCTAACTCGCCCTTATCGGCAGGGTTTTCGGATTAAAATGCATTAATGAGAAAATCGAATGGGTATAAAAATACCTATGCAGATGACGCACTTACTTGGCCAACTCAAAAAGCGTTTCATGCCTGAAACAGCCATTCAAGTGAACGTGAAGTTCAACCTGTAATCAGAAGAGAAATCATCAATAACTCAAAATTTGACTTGACTTTAATCATAAACAAGTTCTAGGGGGGCGGGTTTTAGGGTTTCAAAACTCGTATCAGTAATTGAGCTCTTTTAGCATAAATTTGCAGTAAAATCGCGATTTTATCGACGGCGATTTATCGGAATATTATCGAACTAAAAATCTTGATAAATCGAGATGAATTTTGGGTCTATGGAACGCGATTTTAAAGAGATAAAATTTCGATAAGATCGAGGATAATGGCTCAGATATTGATTATCCCAGCGATTCTATCGCCGAAAAATCGTAAAGAAATCGCAGCTTAATTTCAAAATAGCGAAATTTTTCCATTGAAAAATGCTACTTGGGAGTGAAACATATTTGGGGGTGCTTTACGCCAAATACTACAGGATTGACTCCTCTAGCTTGTGGTAAAGTGATGCTATATTATGTTTTTGTCTTTATTTTTATGTTTCCACCTTAACGACGTTTTGTTTTGACTGCATCACAACACTGGAAAAAAAACACAGTGGATCTAGAATTCAGACTCTTGAAAACATTGACAAGAAAAAAAAACTCTTAATTTAATCAGATTTTAAATCAAAAGGAAATCCACTCAAATTAAGAGGCTTGATTCTTGATTTAAGCAACAATCCGATTGAATCAAGAATATTTTTTCCTGTCAATGTTTTTAAGAGTCTGGACTCTAGATCCAATGTGTTTTTTTTTCCAGTGAAATATTATGAGATTCAAAAGGTAAAAATAAGATATCCTCACTTTTGGCCCGGGAAAGACATCCTCTTTCAAACTTATCCGATCCATTATGTCTCTAGGTCAACGTCCTTCGCAATAAATTGGAATATGAATTCGGACTAAAATTCCTGGTGACCACTACAGTTTTCTACGACACTTTACTACATACACTTCATCGTGTTACTGACCGGTAATAAATGAACAATGAGAGTCAGACTGACAATGAATACTGCCATTGATCCTACTTCGTCCTATCGAAGACGAACTGGAATCGCGGGTAAATAGAAGATAAGTGTAAGATAATAATGCAGTTGACAACAAACGACGTAATAACGCTCAGAAGAATGTTATTTATGCAATAGAAGGTCATCCCATATGGTTTATTCATGTTTATAAATTACTAAGACCACCCCCCCCCCCCCCCCCCCCC